CAAATACACTCTGTACGGATGAAATCCAAAGGGCTACTAAGGCCATTACACAGGCAACACACACACGACTCCAACCCTTTACACTCATTTGTAAAACCTTTATGGTTGTTTAGGATCCAAATTTCCAACTTTATTATTTTAGTACCAGTGTTAATAAACACACAGACTCAATTGATTCAAAGTTTTGAAATTGGACATCATAGAATTTAGAATACAACACTTCAAATGAACTTGATGTCCCAAGCCCTAAAGTTGGAAGTCCAACTACTCTTTACATCCCTAGTCGTTGTAAGCGGACAATTATAATTTATAGTAAAAAGGGGGGATGTTAATGTCCATTATTAAGCTTAATTAAAGTAAGTCATTGTTGTAGACAACAGTTCAAGCAGTCATTGAAATAATACACACATGTTTCCCAGTCAAGATCCTTGTTGTCCTGGTTGACTCCTATGTTGTCTGAAGTCTGTAGGCCTACTAACATAACAGATCTAACGACAAAGCATGATGCAAACCAATTTGAAAAAAAAAAAAAACACGATAGAAAAGTAGCCAAGCCCCATCCGGAAGTTCAAAAACAGGCTGGTTACTACTTTGATTCATTAGAGAACGTAGACAGCTTGTATGCATTCTCCAACGTTAGAGAACGTACCAGGGGTGGCTGGTCGGGCTAAAAAGTGGGCGTGCACAATTAAGCAATCGCAGCCTGAAGATAGTCAAGGGCATAGTAGTAAATGGGATGGAGCATAATTTTGGGATCTTTGGGTTGGCGAGGGAGGGCCTCATTCTTTTATTTTCAATCTTTCTACTTGTATCTTTGAGTTCTAGAACTGAATTTGTTTGTTACCCAAACGTCAATTACGTTCATCCTGCATTGGAACTGAACACTGAAATAATAACTTTCGCCACCTTAACTACCAAACTATTCAATACAGATAATGTTGCGATAAAAATAACATGACGGACTTGCTTTTAAAAGAGATATCGCCCAGCTGTAAACCTTTAAAAAATCAATAGAAACCACTCAACAAGATTTTTTATTAGTACAGTGGAAACCTGATATAACAAAACAGGGATGGTGGGAGTAGAGAAAAGGTCCTGTTATATCCGATCCCTGTTAAATTAGAAATGTGAGGAAAGGAAACATTTGTGGACTAATCCAGCTGTACTTATTCATGGGTAGTTTTCCTTGCCAGAAGTACTTACGAAAAGGGGCTTTGGCACCAACTTTCTCTTTACCTCCTTAAACCACATCAGAAGAGCTTGGTCCACAGCATCTGCATCGGGTAGTCTGATCTTCTTTCGTTCCAGAGCAAACTTTCCCTTGGAGTCTTGGAATATGCTGCTACTATCTTCTCTCTATCCATGATACATGTAATGGTGGGAATCGACCCTTGTGGAATGTCGAACTGACGACAAATCTCTGCCAGTGGAGCTTGCTTTTTGTCAACAGCCTAGATTATTTCGTATATTTTGTCAATTGAAAGGCATTTTCTCTTGCGCTCGACATCGTTGGTGGCCATAATGAAAGAAGTAGGCTTAGATCTAGGCCGTCCGGTCGTTAACAGAGTGCGTTAAGCTTAGATCTACGCATGTACCGTACTGTTGTTAGGCCCAGTGAACAGTGAACAGTCTCAGTGTGGTGTGGTTTTAGGGTGTGGTGCATGCGTGTGTGCTTTGAACTGCGAAACAAGCTCTGCGCACGACCAGATTTGGCCATGCGGCAGGCCTGAGCATGACACATTACGCGTGTGTGTTGCTAGATTTCGGGCTAGATCGAGGTCTGCAGCATACGGCAGTCCTCTCTCGCTTCACATGCCGGGTGTGCTTGCAGTAGCTTGGCGTGCGTGAGCTTGCTCCATCACTGTCTGTCTCTGTCTCTGTCAGTCTCTCTCTTAATTTTTATACATTGTTAACGAGCCTAAGATGAGGCCCTGTTATTTCCGATAAATTTTAATGGAGACAAGGAGTAGGAAAAAACGGGAATTAAAAAAAATCCCTTTATTACCGGATCCCTCTTATTACCAGGCGCCGGGCCTTTATATATGGTTTCCACTGTCCACTGTATTTATTAAGTAATTTTCTAAAATAGAGCTAACAGGTCTTTACAAAAATATTGATCTGTTAAGACAAATTGATACAAGTCACTGCGCTAAAGCTATTGAGATTATAATCAATAGTCAAGGAGATATTTGACAATAAGTTACGCCACGAACTTTTGATCGCACTATAAATAGTAACATACAATAAAAAGAAGAGATAAGAAAGATAGATCTTAGTGAGGCAGCGTGGTGGAATCAGGCTCTCGTCAATTTTTGGGCATGTAGAGTTATTGGTATCATCTTAAAGCTTATCTACTTGTCTTATTTGGATTAAAAAAACTATACTTTTATCTTGAATACATGTCGAGATATTTGCGAAAAAAGGAGGTGGTGGTCACCTGTTTTCAGAGGTAAAATTAGTGAGAAAATGGCCGCCAAAGATTAGTTTTATCCTTAGCTTAAGAGTCCGTGGTAAATGAAAATTTACATTTTTGTACCTTTAATCAACGCTTTTCAGAAAAATCCTCCCAGAAATGAGTTCTTTAATGGGCATGAAAGGTGTTGAGTCAAAAAACAAAAAGTTGATAAAAATTCACAAAACTGTGGAAAAATGCAAGTTTCTTCACTTTGATTATTTTGACGAGAGCCTGATTCCACCACGATGCCTCACATTTGATTGGCGTGAAAGGGCCCGCCAGCCACCCACAAGCAACTCGATGAATCAGCCCTCCTTAGAAAATCCACACAATTTTGTTACAAATTTGCCCCCTCCCTTTTCGGCCACGCTCCCATCCTCTTCACCACCAGTTTCATACTAGATGTAGGCCTGCCTTTCTTTAAATGTTAGGTCATATCAAACACTGCAAAAAATACAACCCCTCACTGATGGCACTGTAGCAACTAATACACCCCGGATCCACCCCCAGTGGGTCGGGGGGATATAAATAGACCCACTGCTTCGTCTGCAGAAGGTGCAACCCCTTCAAAGGCGAGGTGTCGCACTCGGACCCCAATCCTCTGAGATCCGGATGCGACACCTACTTTGGTGTATCTTCCTCTTCTCCTTCCTTCTTTCTTTCTTCTTCTGTCTTTCCTGCCACC